GTTCTTATTCACATAAAAGATTGTTGATATACTATTTTAAGACTTCAAATATGCTGCCTTGATTGCCAAAAAATGAAAACTGGCCCAGCCATGGTGGTGCAGGCAGTGGGACCACCAGGCAGTAGGCTCAAGTCCTGGGTCTACCTCAACATGCTGGCTGCACTCATAGGCATATCTGTGGTTCAGATTGTTGGGGTTTGGGGAAGGATTGTGGCATAAGTATTGTGTTTAGGGTGCCCCTCTCTCTGGAAATAAATATATAAGTTTTTAAAAAATGACAGTTGGGGCTAGCAGGTGGCATGGAGGTTAAGATGCTAGATCCCACATGTGCCCAGCTGCACGGTTCCAGTCCAGACCCAGTGGCTTGAAAATCACACCGTGCATGTGTGTGTGTGTGTGTGTGTGTGTGTGTGTGTGTGCGTGCATGCCCAAAATCCCAAGGGGGACTGGAGAAGGGATGGTGGTGTGACCATCCTGCCAAGAAGTGATTTCTCACTTTATCTCTTTCTCTCTCTCCCTCTCTGTGAGCACATGCACCTTATAGCCCATTAAAAAAAAAATTAAGAAGCTAATTGTGACCTCCATCCTAATATCTAACTGCTCTCTCAGTCACCAAAATGAAAAATTAAATTTCAATTTAAAAAATATCCTGGCCAATGTACTGTTTAGATGTTAACCTATGTGTTGATTACTTCCTCCCCAAATACAATCATTATAATAACTCGTCTTTTTGCATATATAGAAAAATCTTATAAAAAAAATTATAACACTTAGGGTAGAATCTTATCTTGTAAAAGGGATTTAATAACAGCAATAAGCTTGGCTTCTGACAATTGTTAGATAAATTTGGAAGCCAGGAAAGATAAGACACCAAGATGCAATTTTTTTTTTTCTTTTTTTTCTCCTCTCGGGATCTTGGGCACGCACGCACACGCGCCCGGCGTGAGTTTTAAGCCACCGGGTCCAGGACGTGAACCGCGGTCGACTACGTGGGAGTCCAGCGACATAGCCATTACGCTAACTGCTGGTTCCCAAGATGCAATTCTTTTTCAGAGGTTTTTGCTATAGGGCGCATGCACATGCCAGAAAGAGAGAGACAGAGACAGAAAGCGAGAAATCACCCCTGGGGGAATGGCCACGCCACTATCGCTTCTCCTCCATTCTCCTCTTGGGATCTTGGGCACGCACACACACACACCTGGTGTGAGTTTTAAACCACTGGGTCCAGGACTCGAACCACAGTTGTCTACATGGGAGTCCAGAAAGATAGCCATTACGCCAACTGCTGGTCCTGATGCATTTTTTAATAAGTTACATTGGAGTAGTTACCAGGTAATGGGATTCACTGACATAAGTAGTGCATTCCATGTAGGTATATTAAGAATTCAAGCTTTTGAGTTTGAGTATCATGCACTTTCAGAAATGTAACCAGTTCAGACTGAGAGCATCATCCAAGTTCTTGTACTCGCTTTATACTAAAGTTATATAGTCTTTAAATACATCTATAAAAATAAAGAGTGGAGTCGACTAGTTTGCCAAATCAACAAAGTACACAAGAAGACTTCTGCTATTCTTTTCTCACCTCATTAACAAAAAAGCCTCCCATAAAGTAAAGGAAAAAAACTCAGGAGATCCATATTGGAAAACTCAAATTACAGGTTTTTTTCATAGCCAGTAGTAATTCCCTGCTAAAGGTAGAGGGATTTATATGCTTTGAAATACAGTTAATTCAAAACACTGCATGTTTATACTTCAGAATATTTGGCCCCATGAGGTATGTATTCAGACATATTTGTTTATTTCAGAGTGAAATAAGACTCCTGATAACCTTTTAATAGAAAAAAAATGGAGCTGTCAAGAGCATACAAAAAATTATCTTTCCATTTCTATTACCTTAGTGATTTAGTTTTTAATATAGATTCACAGCTGAAAAATAGTTTGTTCTTTGCAGCAGCATATCCATGGATAGAGATGCTAGCTAGATTACTCCAAATTGCTGGGTACCCGTGAAAAGAGAGAGCCCCTTTCTCTGGGGAACTGTTTACTTTGCATTGAATCAAGGTCATGAATGTCAATATGTGAGCCTCTGGACTTTCAGATTTGATAACTGTGTACATTCTGCTTAGGTTCATGCTTGATAAAGTATCTTCATTTTCCTTTTAGTTTTAGGTCTGATTAATGCGTCAAATGTACCTTTGTACTCAATGTGAATATAAGGATACCTGTTTCATTTATAATCATTTAGTAGGGATATGAATAAAACACTCTTGAAATGGAAAATGTGAACCATTTTATAGCAAACTTTACGATAGCCTTCCTTTGTGTTTGCCCTGTGAACAAATCTTAGGTCCATAGAAGACCCTTCTTGGGCTTGCAGGTGGTGTGATGGTTAAGGTGGTAGACTCCCTAATGATCAACTGCGGTTCAAGTCCTGAACCTGGCAGCTTGCTTTCTCACTTTCCTTTTCTCTTTCTCTCTCTGATAAAATTAAAAAATAAATAATAACAAATAAAATAAATAAATCTTTTTTCTTTTTTGAAAAAAAAGACCCTTCTTATCTCTAATCACAGTTGCCTGCTTTTACCAGTTGTAAAGTTAGGGCCAGGAACTTGAGTTTGGAGTAAATTTTAAATGAGGTGAGATCATAATGTATTTTAATTGCCGATAGATAATATTGGGTCATCAGAAACGTCTCAATGTATTTTTCTATGTGATAAATAGCTTGAGTCTTAACAAAAGTGGGATTCAGTTTCCTGGTGTCAATATTACCTTGAATAAGTCATTTATATATTCTGGAAAAGGTTAGTAATAAAACTAGTACATTGCTTACTTTTACAACTAAAATGTACATGAAGATAAAATACAAAAATTTGAGTTCTTAGAAGAAAGCCAATATCAATGTCTGGTATGTTTATAGTGAAATCTCACAATAACAGGAGCTAGTTCTAGAATTAACTAAAACTCATTAGTGTGTGCTAGAAGAGCTCCTGAGAACAGTCTCATAAAAACAAAAACAAATAAAAACACTGCTTGATCTAAGGAAATAGATACAAAGATGTCCTGATCGTATTACATGAGTTCAAGGCCATATCTTCATGAATTGTTGAAAATATAGTTGTGATAGGACCGGCAGATGGTGTAATGGTTACATCTTTGGACTCCCATGTAGTCGACCATAGTTTGAGTCCTGGACCCAGTGACTTAAAACTCACCCCAGGCACATGTGTGTGTGTGTGTGTGTACCCAAGATCCTGAGAGGAGAATGGAGGAGAAGGGATTGAGGTGTAGCCATCCCCCAGGGAGTGATTTTTTGCTTTCTATCTCCCTGACTCTCTCTGTCTCTCCAGGGAGTGCATATGCCCTATAGCAAAAGTCTCTCTCTCTCAAAAAAAAAAAAAACCATATACATACATATATATATGTATGTATGTATGTTTATATATATATATACACACACACACAATGTATGATTACAGATAGCCTGAGGAAAAAAAATTGGTAAAGAGATTTATTATTATTTAAGAGGAAAACAGCACTTATATGTTATTTCTTACGGAGAGTTTTGTAACTGCATTCTTATTAAGAAAAAAAACTTGATCAAAAATTTAAAATCTTTATAACCAAATGGTTATAGATTACTTACTGTTTTCTTTTTTAAAAATATTCTATTTAACTCCATTTATTATTATCATTATTATGATGATGATTACTAATTTGACCAGAGAGAGACAGGGGGCAGGTGGTAGTGAGAAAGCAAGCTGCCAGGTCCAGAACTTAAACCACAGTCGGCCATGTGGATGTCCAGCACTTTTAACCGCCATGCTCCCTGCCATCCCCCTTAGTACTTTCAATGTGCTGTTTTATTGCTCTACTTTAAGCTCTAGTTCAAAGATAAGTTGACCTAGGACCAGCAGATTGCCTAATGGTTATGTCACTGGACTGCCACATAGTTGACTGTGGTTCTAGTCCAGAACCTGGCAGCCTAAAAGTCACACCCAGCATGTGTGCGTGCATGCCCTAAATCCTGAGAGGAGAATGCAGGAGAAGGGACTGCAGGGTAGACAACCCCCTGGGGGATGATTTCTCACTTTCTCACTTTCTGTCTCTCTCTCTGGTGAACATATAGCCCTATAGCAAATTATCTCTCAAAGAAAGATAAGCTGACCTAAAGTCTGTGCACATCATTTCTTTGGGTACTTAAGAATGGGTTTCTATTGGGTTCTCAGAAAAATCATGACGTATTTTAATATGTCAATATTTCATTATGTTCTATTGGTCTATAGTTTCCTTTGTTGTTATGTCCTTGTCTGTTTTGGGGATGGGGTGATGGAGGCTTCATAAAATTAATTTGGGAGGGGTTCCTTCCTTTAAATCTTTAGAAATAGTTTGAGAGAATGGGGGTTAACTCTTTTTTTAAAAAGTTTTGTAGGATTCGGATGTGAAGCTATTGAGTCCTGGTGGGCTATTGTTGTTGTTGAGAGGTTGTTTATTGCTGATTCAATTTCATTGCTATGAGTCTATTCAGGCTTTCTGTGTCTTCCAGATTCAGTCTTAGTAGATTATATGTGTCCAGAAATCTGTCCACCTCATCCAACTTTTCTTGTTTGTTGGTGTGTAGTATTTTCTAATGATCTTTTGTATTTCTTATATCTGTTGTAATATTTCCTGTTTCATTGCTAAGCAAATAAAGGCAGACTATGAGCAACTGTGGATACCAGAGACAGTGTGGGAGGAGGATAGGAAATGGCAGAGGGTGAGAGGGAGGGAATCAGGGGGAAAGAAGAAGTAAAATATATAAGAAACACAAAAAATAAATAAATGAATAAATAAATAAAAACTCAAACAATAAAATTCATTATAACTTATCTGTTACCAAAAGTTAATATTGAATTGAAAATAAAATTTAGGTTAAACTATTATGATAAACATTTAGAAAGGTCTCCCACATTCACCGCTATTTTTATACTTACTGCAAATTTACTGCTATTTATTTCTTGCAGGCTTGTGAAGCATATGTGGATTTTATGATTTCTGTGGCCAGATTGATTCGCGAGGAGAGAGGATTGCCCATCGATGAAGAGCAGATATCTTTAGACATGAATAATGTTATGGAATTGGAAAAAGAAATCGCTAATGTAAGGCATATTTTTTTCTGATACCTGAATAAAATTAACCTTTTATTTTCCTTCCCTCTATCATATTTTAAAAGTAAAAGGTGCAGTTCTTTAACCAAGTAATTAAAAATGCGTAACTCGGTAATGAATCATTTACTTCAAGAGGACCTTTGTAACTAAGAATTTTATGGTAACCTGAGTCTCTGACATCCTAGAGACACATTAAGTTAGACAAATATTAAATGAGATAAACCTAATTGCCTATTATAACATGAGTGGATTACATGGAAATACTGCTGTGGACAGTCAACTGGTTAAGATCCTAGATCCTGAGGACACATGGAAAGCTGTTTTATTTTGATATGTATACCTTTACTTTATTTACTTTGGAAGTTTAAAGTGATCACAGAAATTGTCTTTTTCCCTTTGCTAAGGAGCATTAATCTCCCAAATGGTCACATGGCAATGTGATTCCACTTAGGGTAGATGATCAGCCTGCTAAACTGAGGAGTAAGCAGACAGGAAGAATTTAGCAGCAAGGCCCAAAGGTCATATTCCTGAATTTCTGCAGCTTCTAAATGAATCCCTGAAGTCTGAATTGACACTTTCTCCACTGATGGTCCACTGTCAGGGGCCTACAGTCTGGAGCAAGTGTAAGCAAAATGTAGGCTCCTAGTTGAACTTGCGGTCAGATTTAGACCCACAGAGCTGTCTTCAGCGTTGCCACCAGTGACTTGCACCCCTAATTCCCTATCTGCTCACCACTGCATGATAGAAAATCTTGAAGACTGAAGATCTTGGAGGATAGTTTTCATTTTCATGGGATTACATGAAACCCCTTATCTCTAATCGGGACAGGCTGTGCTTGGAGCTACAGCTGGGTGAATGACAGTGGGTGGGCTCCATGTGGTTCTGTTAGAGAGACAGGCTAGAGAACAGTTTCCCATCCTGGGCATTTAGCCCTCACATTTGCTCAGACTATGTTCTCTTTCCAGTTTGTTTTTATTTCTTGTTTTTGTTTTTGTATTTGCCAGAAGGCACGTGTGCTTGTTGGAGACAGAGGGAGAATAAGAGAGAAAGAGAGAGAGAGAGAAAAAAAAACTGCGGTTGGCCATATGGGAGTCCAGCGACATAACTGCTATGCCATCTGGTGACCCTTGTTTTATCTTTTATTTTTTTTGATTCAGTGAAAAAAATAATAAAATTGGATCTTTTAGGTATAAAGCACTCAACTGGTTAGGCAGGATGGGTGCAAAGATGGTGCTGTGATTCTCTTTAGATCACTTACAATCTGCCTATGCCAGGTACTAGGAAAGTCTCTGTTTCTTGCCATAAATTCTTGTAGAAACTGTTGCACCTTTTTTTTTTTTTTCTGACCAAATATTAACTAGGACATGGAATGGTAGCAGTGGGGGTGGGAGATAGTATTTGAGAGATACATTGGAGACACCTCTATCCAGGAAAGTTACAACCTGAAATAGTTATAGACACAGCTGAGCTGGCTATCCACCACAGCCTGTAACTATTGCTTACGGAGGTTGGCAAATACCAAAATGTAAAAAGATTTTTGATGAATTTTACACTTCACATTACAGCCAAATTTTGATAGTTGTTACTGAACACAACTTAAGATCTCTTAAATCCCCCTTCTTTTAGATATGGTAAAATAAATTATGAAATAGGTACAGAATAGAACTTGAATTATGAGACCAGCAGGTGGCATGGAGGTTAAGGTTCTGGATCCTACATGGCCCCAGTGCGTTGTTTGAATCCCAAACTTGGTGGTTTGAAAATCACCCCGGGGGCGGGGGTAGTGTGTGTGTATGCCCAGAATCTCTAGAGGAGACTGGAGAAAAAGGTATTGTGGCATAGCCATCCCCTCTGAGGGGTGATTTTTCACTTTACCCTCTTTCTCTGTCTTCAATGTCTTACCTTTTAACCATAATTTCTGTCATACAGATTTTTTTCTAAAGAATTTTTAGTTCTAAAATAATGATTCCAAATTGAACCCCTAGGCTACAACTAAACCTGAAGATCGAAATGATCCAGTGCTTCTTTATAACAAAATGACATTGGCCCAGATCCAAAATAACTTTTCACTAGAGATCAATGGGAAGGTAAGTAGCAAGTTTTATGGACCCTCTCTTGTGCTGTTTCTTAAATTATAACATTGAAATATTGTTTTTAAAACTCTTTTGAGGGACCAGCAAATGGCTTAATGGTTATGTCGCTAGACTCTCACATAGTTGACCGAGATTCAAGTCCCAGACCCGGCGATATAAAACTCACACCGGGCACCTGTTGTATGTGTGCATGTGTGTCTGAGATCCTGAGAGAATGGAGGAAAAGGGATTGTCGTGTGGGCCATCCCCCCTGGGAAGAGGGTTGATTTCTTGCTTTCTCTCTCTGTCTCTCTAGCAAACACATGAACCCTACAGAAAAAATCTTTAAAAAAAAAATGTTGATTGTGGGGGCCAGCAGGTGGCATGGTGGTTAAGGTGCTGGTCTCCCACATGGCTGACTGCAGCTCAAGTCCTGGACTGCGTGGCTTGAGACTGATGCCCAGCACGCTTGTGTGTGTGCCTAAAGTCCCAATAGGAGCACCAAGGAGAAGGGATTGCAGTGTGGCCCTGGTTAGGTGATTTCTCACTTTCTGTCTCTCTGTCTCTCTCATGAGTACACATGCCCTAAAGCAAAAACTCTATCCCCCCAAAAAACAACTATTGATTTTTTATTTATTGGTAGATTTAACTGCAAAATAAATTTAGATGACACCAACTAGTAGATTTCATGACAAGATCTGGGTAGATAAAAACTATCTGAAATAATTTTATATTTGTATAGTAAATTAGAGTGAATTTCAAAGCTAACATGCAAGGCAGCTATGAGATAATATTAGAAACTATCACAGAAAAGTGATGGGAAAAAAACTCATTAAAACTGAAAGTCTTTCTGAAAGACCATTATATAGTCATCCAACTTGGAAAGTCAAACAATAAGAACACTAGGGTTTTTTTTTTTTTAATCTCCTAAAATGGATAATTTATTCAAAGAGCTTTTCAACATTTATATCAAAGCCATCTATAGAGGTGTTCAGCACAATAATGAAGAAATAGAACACAGAAATAAGAAGAAACACTGTCTCTTAGATTTCACTTATAAGCAACAATTGGCTTCTTTTTGCCTAGCTAAAGCCAGTAATCTCTATTTGGGGCCCTGCATTTATTCTTGCATATTAGTTGATGGATATAGTTAGGTTATAAAGTCACATCCATGGGAAAATCTACAAACTACCATATTTGAGACTGGCATTCATTTGACCCTAAATCTAATTTTCAAATAAGGGCGTTGTAAAAGGCATAGCCAATAAGAATTAGACTTCTTACATAGAATGTTTTAATATAAGTGTGTAATGGATATGTTTCAAAAAAATAGTCCAAACCACCAAAGGGAATCATGAAAAGCTCGTAACATAGCACCTTGCACTTAGTAAATACCCGCGTGTGTGAGTATATACATCCTGTATATAATAGAAACTAAGCTATTATTAATAATCATCTTCAACATTCTCGACTCCTACATAAAGAACAATAGATAAGATTTTATCCTTTGGGAACTTCAAATGTAGCCTATGAAATATAAAAACTGCATGCTTATAAACCCAAGATTGAAAGTTTGAAATGTGTACTTTTATTTGGCTTCATAGCATCGCCGATCTTTGCTACACAGTGCGTTTTCATTTACAGCAGGATCTGCACTGAGATGTATTACTATGTTTGAGTGGAATGTTTATTAATATTCACTTTTAAAAGATACACACTTTAGGAACATTTCAGTTTTTGTATAAACTAAGCAAGCTTTAGTATTAAAGCTAAGTTTCATTTTCTTTTTTTTTAATATTAGTTAGACAAAGATAACAACACTGAGTCTAATTTTTAGTTGTATGTTCTCTAAGCTTAGGTAAGGCTTTGTTTTTGCTCTCAAGTGATTAGTTTAATTTTGTTATCTAAATAATCATGTTGTGGAACTAATTTTTTATTCAAAAGTTGACTAAAACAATTGAAGGAAAAAAGAAATCCCAAACAGATACCTCCCTGACCATTGTGATAATTATTTAGTTATACAATGGACACCCTTTAAGGTCTCACCCTCTTTTTTAAAAGTTATGTATTTAATTTTATGTATTCATTCATTTATTTTAATTTGACCAGAGATAAACAGAGAGAGAGAGAGAGAAAAAATGAGAAAGCAAGGGACCAGGTCCGGGACTCGAACTGTGGTCGGCCATGTGGGAGTGTCCAGGACCTTAACTACCACACCACCTGCTGGTCCCAATGTCTCACCCTCTAACCATAATTGAAACTTGGAACCAAGAAAAGAAATCCAAAATTACTGAATGTCTTATGCCTGCTTTTTTTCCAGCCATTCAGCTGGTCAAATTTCACAAATGAAATTATGTCAACTGTGAATATTACTATTACAGATGAGGAAGAAGTGGTTGTTTATGCTCCAGAATATTTAACCAAACTTAAGCCCATTCTTATCAAATATTCTGCCAGGTAGGTATGTCACAGTGCCCGTGTCCACAAAGTTTACATTTCATATCACTCTTTAGAAGCTTTGCAGCCTCATCTTTTCTGTTGCTGGGTGGTGGGTTTTTTTATACAGAGATCTTCAAAATTTAATGTCCTGGCGGTTCATAATGGATCTCATAAGCAGCCTCAGCCGAACCTACAAGGAGTCCAGAAATGCTTTCCGCAAGGTGAAGAACAAATCTCTCTTTTCTTAAGACTTAATAAAGAGATACATGGTTGTGAAGGCTTGCCATGTACACGGCTAGGATGTGGTGAACTCTGCCAAGAGACGAAATGCCAGATGGCACTAGTTTTGTACCTACGTAGGACACATTGCCTAGGAAAAAGATTAGTCTTCATGGTCTTCGCCACCCCATGTTGGTCTGTATGGCGCCTTGATCGCGTGGTCCTCTGAGGAGTGGCAGCTGGTTCTTGAGCAGTTCATAAAAGAAGACTGCCTTGCTACTTGGGTGTTGTGTTTAGAAGTAATTGCAGGGGTATCTTTTTTCATTCAACTTGATTTTCAGGTGCTCAGAGCACACTGGACATACACAGATGGACTGCGCTGTTGCGGAAAATCTATTGAGAGAAAACATGCCTGGAGATAACCTTCAGACCTTTCCTTAGGCTATCCTGACATTGTTTAAATAATCCTCATTTCAAGTCCTGTTGTGAAGGGAGCAGGAAAGAGGGATGGAGGAGGGAGATAGTCTAGCAAGCGTATTCGCTGGACTCCTGGAGGAAAAAAAACAAACAGCTTGGATTGATTAAAATGTTCAATTTTTAATTCTTAAAAAATAAATAGATGTACACATTTTTTAAAGAATGCAAAAATAGTATTGTGCAGCATTTCCCTTACCTAGGATAATACCCTTATCGGTACTTAAATTTATACATGCACAGTTCTTCTAAGTACTTGAAGTTCAGCTCAAACATTAAAAAGAAGGAATGTGTTTTCTTGTATACGAGATTTCCCCCCTGTTACATTTATTGAGCATTACTTCACCGTTTATGCCTACACAGTGGTTACAATGTTGTATTTTTTTCCCCTAAAGCTTTCTAGAAGGATATTAACTTGTAATAGCCAGAAGTTCTACTGGGATGTACTATTGAACGTATACTTTGTTTTCAGATCATTTATTAGTAAACAATTCAGTGGAATAACATGTTATTGTAAGCTAGGGACACACATGTCTTGAAAGGAGAAGCGATGAATATTGCAAGAACTTAGACAAGACATATATAGAGTGAAATGTGTGTTCTTACCACGCTCCATCCCTCTACTCCTGGTCAAATCCCCTTTCCTTTTTCTCTTCTGTAGGCGCTTTATGGCACAACATCAGAAACAGCAACTTGGAGACGTTGTGCAAACTATGTCAATGGGAACATGGAAAATGCCGTTGGAAGGCTTTATGTGGAAGAGGCATTTGCTGGAGAGAGTAAACACGTGGTAATGTGTTCAGCACAACACACTATCGATTATTTGCATTGATGGGCAATTACATTTGTCTGCAATTTGATTAAAAATTTAGGGACAAGCAGTTGGCATAATGGCTATGTCGCTGGCCTCCCATGTAGTCGATCATGGTTCTAGTCCCAGACTTGATGGCTTAAAACATGCCAGGCACGTGTGCATGCGTGCCTAAGATTCCGAGAGGAGAAGGGATTGCGGCATGGCCATCCCCCCAGCAAGGGGGGATTTCTCACTTACCGTCCCTCTGTCTCTTTCTGTCTTTTTGGCGAGTGCATGTGTCCTATAGCAAACACCTCTCCCCCCAAAAAATATTGTTAATCAGAGAACTTCTGAATTATAGTATGCCATTATTTACCATTAAATCTCATCTTCTTCTCACCCCAAGATCTAGTTTTGCTATGGCTCCTAATGTTTAATCCAAAGCCAGCTAACCATTTTCTAATAGAAGTCACCTCTTTTACTGAGATAATCATTTATGAATTTGTCTATTACCAAAATTGACCTAGAATTAGTGTTTTTTTTAAAAAAAAAAAAACTAGGAAGTAAATCTGAGTTTGTTTGAAGTATAAGAAATACACTCCAGCCAGCAGAAGGTGTGGTGGACTGGACTCCCATCTGGCCAACTGTGGTTTGAGTCCCAAACCTGGTGACCAGAAACTCATGCCAGGCATCATGTGTGCGTGTGTGCCCAAGATCCTGGGAGAAGAGTGGAAGAGAAGTGATTGTGGCATGGCCATCTCTTCTGGGGATTTCTCACTTTCCCTCTGTGTGTGTGTGTGTGTGTGTGTGTGTGTGTGTCTACGGTGAACACACATGCCCTAAGGCAAAAAAAAAAAAACTCTTTCAAAAAAAAAGAAAAAGAAAGAAATACACTCTAGGACCCGTGTGGTGGCTAAAGTGACTGGATCTCATATGGCCAACTGACTGGTTCAAGTCCTAGATTTGGTGGCTCAGAGAATATGAACGGCGCACATATGTGCATGCCCAACATCTCAAGAAGAGAAGGAAGGAGAAAGGACTGTGGTGTCGCTCTCCCCAGTGGGGAGCGCTTTCTCACTTTCCCTCTCTCTATCTCTCTGGCAAGTGCACATGCCCTACAGCACATTAAGAAAAAAGAAATACACTCCAATTTTTATTGTTGCTGAAATAAAGACAATGGAACTTAACGAAATGCTGAAAGTATCTATTGAAATGCTACTTCATGCTTAATTAAGCCATGAATGGAAATGACATCTAATATTATATTCTTGCATGAGAGTGAAAACTGTGATGTTCTGAAGATTATTTTTTAAATTAATGTTTCTATTAAAGCCCTATTTATAAGGAGTGTTGGTAGTGCCCATATTGCTTTAAAAAATATACTGACTTCATAGATCCATTTGTTCAGGTCACAGTTTGTCTATAAGTTTTATGATTCTTAACGTGTTATTGAGTCACATAAAGACAGCGTGTAGCTATGTTTTTCTTAATTTGTGTCACAAAAGTTGCATTAATGGCCAAAACTTGTCTTCTTTTGATTTGAGGTTGAGAATTTGATTGCACAGATCCGAGAAGTTTTTATTCAGACTTTAGATGACCTCACTTGGATGGATGCTGAGACGAAAAAGAAAGCTGAAGAAAAGGTAAGGAGCAAGCAGGACTGACTACCAAGGAAAAACATGTTTATAGGAAAATGTTAACTTTAAAAACAGTAAAGAAGGGCCAGCAGGTGGTGTGGGGTTGAGGTGTTGGACTCACACATGGCCCACCACGGTTTGAGTCCAGGACCTGGCAGTTTGAAAATCACACCAGGCCTATTTTGTGTGCATGCTTAAAATCTCAGGAGGAAAATGGAGAAGGGATTGTGGCATGGCCAACCCTGCTGGGGGTGATTTGTCACTTTCTATCTCTCTGTCTCTCTCCTGTTCAGTGAACACATGCACCCTTTGGTTAAAAACCTTAAAAAAAAAAAGCAAAGAGAAAAATAATGAAAGATTACCTAAAAAGTTGCACACTTTTAGGAGGTAATGTTTCTAGGAACAGTTTTCATGAATAAATACTTTTCCTATGATTTTCAGTTTTTATATCTGCAGTCAATAGTCATCTTTCATGTTCAATCAAAAACTTTAAAGTACTATATATTCCTTTCTTTAAAGGAATAATTTGGGATATTAAGAGGATAATTCTATGTGAAAAAATAAAGAATTAAAAGATATTATACCAATGGTTCATATTGTTTCTCCTTTTACAAAACATCCTTAAAAGTATATAAAAAGTGAGAGGAAAATATTTTATGAAAACTGTGAACATGCTTTATTAACAACATTTAAGTGCATCCTAACCATTCCTACCTAGTTAAGGTAGCAGAAAAAACAGACCCTTCTTTGAACTGAGAGGAGTCCATTAACCTATTGGAATGAGGTCATCACTTCTGGTCTAGTTCTATCCCACAATTAAATCAGATAGACTATCTTCTTTCCTCTTTCAAAGAGCCCTGGGTGAATGAATTGTAGAATTTAGGCCCTCAGGTTAGCTGTGTTTCTGTTACTCTGGCCCCAGCTCTTCAGAGGTTCTTCAGACTGGCTTTGCTTTCACAGTATAGCTGTTCATGACTTGGTTCGTTTTTGATGTAGCCAATTGGATTGTTTTCTATCAGCATTTTCAAAGGATGCCATAAATCATTGGACCTACAAGTTTTTCCATGAAACAATCTCATAGTCAAAGAGTTTAGGAAACACTTCCTGTAAGCAAGCTTCCTCGGATCCCACTGTAGGCTAAGTTACCTGCTCCTAGGGTTTGATTTTAAGGTACCATCCATCCACTTGAGAGTCAGTATTTATTGTGTTATCTGTCATCATTGCTCCTTATGGTAAGCATTTGGGGAGCAGAAAATTTTGCCTAGCATTGTATTCCCAGCTTTTTTTTTTTTAAGAATTATTTTATTTAGCTTTATTTATTTGTTTGTTTGTTTAAGAGGGAAAGAAAGAGAGGAAGAGAGAAAGTGAGAAAGCAAGCCACCAGCTCCAGGACTCAATCCATGGTTGGCCATGTGGCATGTGGGAGTCTAACATGCTTAACCACCATGCCACCTCCTGGCCCCTGTATTTTCAGCTTTTTACAATTTTCCTGGCTCCTGAGAGGCAGTCAAACATATCTCAAATAAATCAACAAGTTAATTCTTCCTTTTGGGTGCTTACAGTAACCTGAGAGTCTATCTTAGATTCTAAAGAAATCTGCCTGATGCCTTTGCCATAGTGTTTGCCCAAAGTATTTGGCAATAAATCTTTTTTAAAATTTATCTTGAAGTACCTCTTACTTTCTCTGGATTTTGTACCCTTTGCAACACTCTGGGTAAAGATTCTCTAGGAAATATGGTACCTTTGACAGAGAGATGATTTGTAATGAGTGTGGAAAACTACAACAAGAAGATGAACTTAGCCTACGTGACTTCAGTGACACATGCTACCAGATACACTGGGGGAATCCTGGCTTATGTATCTCGTAACAAAGCCATTTGTCCACTTCATGGCAAACCATGTAACTCAGAGATACAAGCCAAATCTTTTACGAAAAACTTAAAATTTATTAAATCATTCAAGAACAACATAATATGATGGAATCAAAAGTCAAATATCTTTGAGAAAAAAAGAGAAATAAAAATAGAAATGGCAAGTATTGAACAAGTGGCGATAATGCAATAATAAAATTAAGTAAACAATTTTAAAGTAGTGAAAATTAGGGGCCAGCAGGTACATGGAGCTTAAGGCAGCTGGATCCCAGATGACTGAATCTGTGGTTCTAGTTCCAGGCCCAGTGGTTTAAAAAATATGCCAGGTACAAAACCCCAAGAAGGGAATGAAGGAGAAGGCATTGTGACATGGCCATTCCCTAAAGGGGATGTTTTCTCACTTTCCTTTTCTCTCTCTCACTCTTTTTGTCTCTAGTGAGCACGCACCCCATAACAAACTAAAAATAATAATAATAATAATAAAATTAAAATTAAGAATTAGAAATAAGAGTAAATAAGTGGTAAATATGAGCTGAGGAACAAGGAAAACTCTGCTTGTTGTGTTTAACAACAACTTGTTTTGTTATTTTAATTAATTTATTGATTCTTTTTTTATTGCCAAAGGGCACGTACCCTTGCCAGAAAGAGTGAGGAAGAGAGAGAAAGAAATGGAACATTTCTTCATTTTTCCCTTCCTCATGTTTCCATCTTGTCAGGATTTGAGGCTCACACACACATGTGCCAGGCATGTTTTTCAAGCCACAGGCTGGATTTCAAACCCCATGGGATTCAGTTCCCTTAACCTCTAGACTACAGACTGGCCCTCTGCTTGTTTAATTCATGTAACTTGACAAAATACGCGTGCTGATGCGGAGACCACTGGGGCACATAGAAACTATAGGAACCCCTCAATATGCAGGGAGAATAGTAGCACTAAACCTGTAAGCACATATTTGTTTTCTCAGCCAAGTTAATGAAGTGGAAAGATCATTATCACCTTCTAGAATGGAAGCTCTAAATATTACTCCTGTACAATTGAAGAAAGAAAGTCTTCCAGAGGAAAAGTTCACAGGAGCACAATCCCTGCAGAACAGTGACTTCCATCAGTTTTTATTGTGATTGTCTTGGGAAACCTGCAGCCTGAAATAATAGGGCATTCGAAGCTATTAAATATATTTCAGACTTGGTTTTTGTTTATTATTGAACCCCAGGAAAGAGGCATTGCAAAGATGTTTGTTTAAGTGTTAGCCAGGTAGCCTTTTTGTAAACAGTGTGGATATTCCATTGCTAGTCGTGGGCAAATTATGATGTTTGTATTTGGATGTTTCATAATCACTCTCACAGTCAATATTTTAATTTTCATAGGCCTTAGCAATTAAGGAAAGGATCGGCTATCCTGATGATATTATTTCAAATAATAACAAACTAAATAATGAATACCGTGAGGTAAGTCTTTATAAAGACTCTGGTCTATGACGCCCAGGGCTGGTGATAATGTTTTTTTCTAGCTATGAGTGCCAAAAATGATGTCACACATCCTAAAACCATAGGTCTTACCATGAAAAGCCTTTAACACTGATGCTAGAACTATATTCATTTTAGCTTTTTGTTTGATTAGTCTGGATTATGTTTGGATGTTTTTTCTTGGTTTTACTTGCCATTTGAAGAATAGTGAGAAAAATCTGGTATTCTTCCAAGAGGATCAAGGTGTAGACAAGGTATAGAACCCAGGCAGCCCTTGGGCTCCTTGTCATGTCAGTGCAGGCCTGAAAAGTCAGAGCTCGGGTCTCCCTTCCACTTCCTAATTCTTTCCCCAGTGCACAAACCAGATCCTGCCTCCTCTCTTTAAAAGAAAACAAAATGAAACAAGTCTAATATTGAAAAAACAGGGACTATTTAATCCTATCCTGTTAATGTAGCAATTAAAAGAGAAGAGGTTGGAGTGAGGTCACTGTGGAACTGATTTCAGACTCTGCTGAGAATCCTACTGCTAACCTGCTGGTCACCACAACTGCTTGCTATCCTGGTGACATCAAAGTGATCCTTGTTCAGTCCTGGATCGTGGTGATTCCTAATCCTTTGATTACTGGCCCAGCATGGAGATTTGCAAGGCAGTATTCTCTCCTTCCTTTCCATTTTCAGAAAAATGTAATTTTCTCTTTTAAATCAAACTACAGCTTTCAAATCCCAAGGGCCCATATGGAAGGAATGTAGTGGCTAAGGACAGACTTGAGAGTCAACGTGTATGGGTTCTAATTCTAGTTCCACTATCCACTAGAGGCTAAGAGCATAGACTCAAAGATCAACTCCTTGGGTTCAAATCCCAGTTCCACCACTCATTTAATCTTGGGCAAATGATGAAACTGTTCCTCAGTTTCCTCAGTTTTAAACTGAGGATAGTTCATAAAACGATGATTATAAGGATTAAATGAGTGCAGTATATATTTAAAGTACTGAGAACAGAGCTTAGCACACCATAGGTCCTAAGCAAGATGGTTATTATCCCTGTCTGTTATGGGAGGATTAATATTATCGTAGTGAGACTTGTCTGCCACGTGGTTTCATTTGATCGATTATAAAAGAGCAGATGTGTGTGGTTTGGTTAGAGTAGTACTGATCTATAATCTAGGAATTAAATCCCTCTTTGGTGAGTTTCACTTTACAAACTAGAGTAGTACTGATCTATAATCTAGGAATTATTTTCCCCTTTGGTGAGTTTCACTTTACAAAATGATAGAACTTAAAATATTATCTGGTTTCTAGAAAAAAACAATTGAAGGTACTGGTTTTAATGTGTTTTTTTCCCCCAAAATCTTTTATATAATACAGTTGGACTACAAAGAAGATGAATACTTTGAGAACATAATGCAAAATTTGAAATTCATCCAGAGTAAACAACTGAACAAGCTCCGGGAGAAGGTGGACAAGGATGAGTATGTCCCGTCCAGTCCCTAATGTCTGTCCATGGGGATCGGGGGGCGGGGGGGAGGTGCTTCCCAACTCACTTAAGAGAAAGAGCCTGACATAGAAAACTACTAAAAAGGGCAATGTTCTTTCTATTGAGAAAGTCTACAAGCAGTTAATTATATTAACATTAAATATATAGGTAGGAATTTAACCATATTTCAATTTTTTTCATTAAGTTATCCTTATATTTACCTCATTTCTTTAGTTTCTTCTTAATCATTATCTATCCCCTCTAATTTATTTGTGGATGTGGTTCTTTTTTTTTTTTTTTTTTTTGGAGAGGTTTTTGCTATAGGGCACGTGTGCTTCGCCAGACAGACAGAGAGAGACAGAGAGACAGAAAGCAAAAAATCACCCCCCAGGAGGGATGGCCACACCACAATCCCTTCTCCTCCATTCTTCTCTTGGGATCTTGGGCACACACGCATGCGCGCCCGGCGTGAGTTTTAAGACACCGGGTCCAGAACGTGAACCGTGGTCGACTACATGATATTCTAGCAACATAGCCATTACGCTAACTGCTGGTCCCAAGATGAGGTTCTTAAAAACACAGCAAAAGTAACCCATTGTACTTCAAGTTTTCTCTGAGGCCTTACTCTGTATCCAGAATTTTCTTCTGTTGACAACCCCACCTTTTTTTCCCATCAGTGTAGCATCCCACAACTCCATCCCATTCCTAGACTGGTTCATGGAATATGTTTTAACCCTGCAATAGCCACAGAGAAGATACCAGGAACCACTCTTATTCATAGCCTTCAAATTCTTTTTAACCTGCGTGTTACTGACATTAATTCTTTAAATATTAGCTTACTGTTTATTTTTTAATTAAATGAAAGTTAATGTCAGCATGTGTTTTTATACACTTAAATCCATAGACTTAGCTTAGGTTCTTAGACCCTAAAGAACACACACCTTTCCTTTGGATCTTAAAGTGAAAGTACCCAGCTCATAAAAGATTCTCAGTTAAAACTAAATTAACGAATGAGTGAACAAGTGAAAACAATAAATACACTAACTTGGTTGGTGTGGTAACTAACGTGATAACATGCCAGAGAGGTGCTTGGTTCATTCGTGCATTCTTCTTTAATTGATTCCTTTTTCTTAACTACTGTTTTGAAACACTGACCAAATGCAGGTGTCACTGGGCACTTGGAAAACATCAGCATTACAGTGACAAAAGGTAGACAAGACAGGATATGATAAACTACCATGAGGGAAGTATGACAAGAAGGGTACACAGAGTGCAGGGGACAGTCTGATGGCAACACTGCTGTGTTCTCGGTAACTCAGGCTGGTCCAGATGACCAGAGTGCCAGTGCAACTCAGTCATTTCTCTGGCATTTTGAACTCTTGCAACACTATAGTGCCCTGGAAAAGAGACAACTGCTTTGATTGCTTCTGGGTTTGCATTGGAGCAAAGGTTGTGTTATCTGATCTTCAAAATGGGACTACAAATATCAACATTTCGTGTCTCATCTGTGAAAGAAGGAAGGCAAGCAGATACATATGGTTGGTATTATAATCAAGTCATCAAATTCTGTCTCCAGCAATATACAAAAGTTATTAAAAAATACTGTGGGTAAATTTATAATCTGATTTTTTAAAACAATTATTTTCTTGGGAACCAGCAGTTAGCGTAATGGCTATGTTGCTGGACTCCCACGTAGTTGACCGCGGTTCGTGTCCCGGACCCGGTGGCTTAAAACTCACGCCGGGCACGTGTGCGTGCATGCCCAAGATCCCCAGAGGAGAATGGAGGAGAAGGGATTGCGGCGTGACCATCCCCCCTGGGGGGTGATTTCTCACTTTCTGTCTCTATGTCTCTCTCTGTCTGTCTGGCGAGCGCACGCGCCCTACAGTGAAAATCTCTCAAAAAATAAAAAAACAATTATTTTCTTTAATTTTATTTATATACTTATTTATTTATTTTAATTTGACCAGAGATGAACATAGAGAGAGAGAGAGAAAGAGAGAGAGAAAGTGAGAAAGCAAGCCATCATGTCTGGGACTCGAACCAGGTTCAGTCATGAGGGAGTCCAGTGCCCTTAGCCACCATACTACCTTTTGGCCCCCTGACTGATTTTTTTTATAAATTCAAATACTTTTATTTCTTTGAAAGTACATATACTTAGATTTAGTTATAGTTAGTTCTATAAAATGTCTTCAGACAAATATTGTCAGATATCCTTTCTGAAATGGCTACAAAAATCTGCACCTATGAGGTGCTCGCGGATTTCTTCTTCATCATTTCAAAAATTGTTCTTGAATTACTGCTTGATGTTTTTCTTTGAAGTTAATGTAGTCTCAGTGTCATAATCATTTTGTAATATAGTTTACACTGTTTGATCCCCTTCATCTTATATGTTGATTTCCTGTGAATCCTTCTCTCTTTAAAGTATATCATCAAAAGTCAAAATTGTATATAGTATTTTAATGAAAGTTTGGTTAATAGCATGCCTCATAGTACTGCGTTTGGGTTATTTTCATAAGCTTCCACTAGTGAGAACAATATGACTTGTAAGTTCTTCTCTACCACACAGTGCTAGCTTTTCCTCTTCCCCATTTGCTGTCAGAATACTGAATACAAAAGTTCAAACTCTGGGGACCAGCAATTGGCATAATGGGTATGTCACTGCACTCCCATGTAGCCAACCATGGTTCAAATCCCAGACCCAGTGGCTTAAACTCACGCCAGATGCATGTGCGTGCGTGCGTGCCCAAGATCCCAAGAGGAGAATGGAGGAAAAGGGATTGCGGCATGGCCATCCCCCCTGGGAGGTGATTTCTCGCTTTCTATCTCTGTCTTTCTGCGAGCACACGTGCCCTATAGCAAAAACCTCTCCAAAAAAAAAAAAAAAAAAAAAGTTCAAACTCTGGGGGGTGCAAGAAGCCTTCTTCTGTGATGGATCTTTTACCTGGAATAAAATCACTACCCTGTTTTTCTTTCTTTTTTTTATTTAGCACTGATTTCACGTCCTCACTGTATATGGTCAGACAGAGACTATCTATTGATTCTACTGTGTCCACATGGCCTGTAGTATATAATCTTTAGAAAAATTACATTTTCAGTTGCTCAACTTTCTCACTCCTCAGGTGTAACAGGAGAAATATATATCCATTTCAAAACTGAGAGGACAGAGATGAGATTCTTGACTACTGTAGAGAACTATAGAGTTGGGGTTTTTTTCCCTTTTCTTTTCCTAGTTTCTGTTTCTTTCTTTTTTTTCTTCCTTTATTCCTTCCTTCCTTCCTTTCTTGCAAGAGGGTACATGTACTTGTCAGAGACAGAGAGAGAGAGAGGGCGAAAGCCCTCCCCCATGGACATGGTCATGTTGCGTTCCTTCCCCTCCATTTCTCCAGCCTACTAGAATCTTGGACATTCACACACATGTGCCCAGCATTTTTTTTAAGCTGCCAGGGCTGGGTTTTGAACCATGATAAGACATATGGTATCTAGTTCCTTAAACCACGAGGCTATGAGGCCAGCCATGTAGGGTTTTTATTCATTTGTTTATTTTACTGTGAGGTGAATGCACTCCCTGGAGAGAGAAAGTGAGAAACCACACCCCCCCACGAGGGCGGGAGGATGGCCATGCTGCACTCCCTTCTCCTCCATTATCCTCTTGAGATTTTGGGTATACACAGACATGCACAGCATGATTTCAGGCTATCAGGTCTGGTACTCAAACTGCATAGAAGGCCATGCATGACCCAGGTGCTTTACCCTCCGTGCCGCCTGCTTGCCTGTAGGGTATTTTTGAGAAATGATGATGCAATGAGTTTTCAGTGTAATTAATTTAAATAAATGTAAGTAACCAAACACCAAACTTCTAGACATTTTCTTTTCTTATTCTACATGTTTCCATTTGGCCAATTTATGTACTTTTGACATCTCCTGCCATTGTTATAAGAGCAGAATATTTGTTATCTGGCCCAGATTTATATTCTTAGCTCCAAACCCAAATGCCTAGCTGCTTATGAAACATCTCCCTGTATAATAAATGTCATGTTGACCCTACAGATACGCATTTGCTATTTAAGCAAAAGTTCATTATTTTTCTCCCCATATCTGCCCTTTTGCTTGCTTTCTTTTCTTTTTTTTCTTCTTTTTTTTAAAAAGATTTTGTTATAGGGCATATGCGCCCCCCTAAAGAGAGACAGACAGAGAGAGAACAAAAGTGAGAAATCACTCTAGGAAGGATGGGGGTATTTCTTCCTACCCTTCTCCTCCATTCTCCTCTTAGAATTTTGGGCAGGCATGCACACGTGCCCAGTATGTTTCTCAAGCTGCCAAGTCCAAGACTCAAACCACACAGCCTGCCATGTGGGATCCAGCCTCCTTAACCACCATGTCATTGGCTGGCCTCTGCCTGTTTTCTGGGAATCTCTCGCACACTACTATGAAGACAGAGCCAAGGACTCATCTTAATGATCTGAGACCCATTATTTTCTCTCATCCAGGACATCTACATGATACCTAATTAAAGTCTTCATTAACAAATATTAAAGATTGACCTGGCTGGCAGCATGGTGATTAAGGCAGCTGGAACCCACATTGCCAACCGCCTGGTTCAAGTCCTAGACCCTGCCGCATGAGAAACATGCCAGATGTGTCTGTGTCTGTGCCCAAAATAGAGGAGGAAGGATGACTGCAGCATGGCCATTCTCTCTCTCGCTTCTCTCTGGTTCCTTAAACCACCAAGCTATGAGGCCAGACATGTAGGGGATTTATTTATTTATTTTGCTATAGGGTGCATGCAGCCCCTGGAGAGAGAGAGAGAGTATACACACCCTATGGCAAAAATAAATAAATAAATAAATAAATAAATAAATCTACATTGGGACTAGCAGTTTGTGTAATGGCTATGTTGCTGGACTCCTGTGTGGTCGACCGCTGTTCGAGTCCTGGACCCGGTGGCTTAAACTCACACCAGGCGCGTGTGAGTGTGTGCTCATGATCCTGAGA